CCTGATTTTGAAGCAAATGGAGATGAGGCCAGGCTGACTCTTCTCAGCTCTCTGAGGAGCAGTGGCTGGCTCCTCCATTCCCCAGGCAGCTGGAGCACACCTTGTAGGGATGGAGACTGGCTGCTGAGGAGGGGTTCATGCAGGGAGAGAGGGAAAGAGCTGGGAGTCCCTAGGCCCTGGTGTAGCTCCTTCTTCTCTTTCCTGCCCTGGTCGCTGACACCCTCCTGGAGCTCCTGATGAACATCAGCACTCACTGTTTGTTACTGTGCCAGCAGAAGCTATCCTAAAACAGTCCTGTAGTTATCTGCCCACTGCACAGCTGTTTCAAAATACTGCAGGGAGTGGGCTTGAAGTTTCTTTTTCCACCTTGCCTGCAAGTTCAGTGGCCAGAACCCTCAAAGGTGGGTTCCTGCTTTGGGTACCAAATACCATTTGTAAAGCTTTGCTGCACACTCCTGTTGAAAGGTATGGGCCATGAGCTTTGCCTAGCTTAAGTTGCCATTTGGGAAATAGGTGCTTTGGGATTTAGCTGGCATTTAATCCCAGGAAACTTTGTAATGTAAGGAATTAGCATGTTGGATTTATGGATTTATTTATTGTCCCCAACAATGTATTAGTATTTCCACTTAAGTAACATTTACTTGTAAATGTGAAGCTGCTCTTATATTAGCAGTATACTACTAGCTGGTGTAATGGAAGAAGTTGTCCAGCTGCATGTAATTGTCCTCCATTATTTGCTTTACTCTCTTAAAAGTTCCAGTTTGTCTCTATAACCTTAATTATAACTTTTATGTGTTTGGAAGCAGTCCCTTCAAATAGCAGTTACCTTTCCTCACATCATGATTTGGGGGTTAAAAGTCCAGTTCCTGTTGTAAGATGCTAAGTACAGAAAATGGGGATGACAAACCACTGTTCTTTCTTCCTCAATATGCCCCTACACATTCATTTGATTTCTGCCCTTCTGAATTTTCCCAAAGTGTAAATCAAGTTAGCTTGCAACAGTGCTGCTGTTGATATTGTTCATTTGATCTGATTATAAAGCACTTAAGGTGTTAAGAAATTGAAATAATGTTCCTTCACCCAGCTCAAATCCAAGCTAAAACACTCAAAGCCTTAAGAAGAGGTGCTGTGAAAAGTTGACCTTTAAAGCTTAAGCTGTAGCAAAACTGTTTCTAAGCTGGTCTTAAAGTAGATGGTGGGAGACCAGAGATCTCCAGTTAAGAACATTATTTTTCCTTCTTTCCCATGGAAAGAGGATCTTTTCCATGGTCATGGGCCTCTTGAAGTGACATAACCTGTTGTGTTTTGCAGTTCTCTTTCCTCACAATGTCCAGGGTAGAACCATTCCTGGAGAAGTTTGTGAATGAGGGCACTTCTGTGGCAGCTATTGTGGCATTTTCAGAAATTTCCTTCAGCTTTTTTTCTTTTGGAGCAAGTTTTATATCCCAAATCCTTCTGGGAAGCTTTAGTTTCAGCAGATTTAGTAGTCTGGTGAACAAATATTGAACTAATTATTTTCCTGACCCTTAGGTGTAGCTGCATCTTGGTGGGTGAGATGAATATAGAAAATGAGGAAGTCCTTCAGAGGCTGAGCTGCTAGGAGTGGCCTGACTTCTGGGAGGAAATCTGATGCCAAAGGCTGGCTGTACCAGCAAAGGTGGGTGAAGGTAATCCCTGAGCATCCAGTGCTGCTGGAGCTGCCACCTTTCCACTTCTTCTGCAACTGACATGACTTTGGGTGCTTAGATCTGAAAATTGTTTGAGAGCTGAGCTTTGGGACAATTTTGATTACCATGCTGGAGGTACATGATCTACCACCAAACTGTTCAGATTTAAGAATTTAGAATTTTACATTACAGACTGAAAAATATAGGTAAATTCCCAGGAGTTTAGTTTATTTGCATGTTCTGATTGTTTTCTTACTCCTTGGGTTAAATTTCTGTTAGAAGCAAGTGCCATTGCTTGGTTGCTGACAGATGACACCAGAGGTAAGGAATGGCTTTTCTTAAGGACTGCTGAGTTCTGCAGGGAGTTAACACTGTGGATCCCATTGATTTAAAACTGGAGATGCAATGGATACCTGCCATTCACTAACTCACCCTGTGGAGTTTTTCACACAAGACAGTCAGTTTTGGAGGCTTTTCCTCCAAAAGCCTCTGAATCACAACAAGGAAGAGACAGTGAGCAATGAGTGCTCTGCCTAACAGGATTTTAGAGGCCTCTAATCTCTCCCACCTTGGTTTCTGTTTCCTGGCAGAAAGATGCTAATCGAGTCATCCCATGGTCTGACACAATTTTTTATCTCTGATCATTCTGACCCTTTCCATGCTTTTCCAATTCTGCTCTACTCCCTCAAGGTAAGAGGGTCAGAAGCATAAATATTGAGTTATGGGAAATCAGGTTTTTTTCTAAGTTTTAAAACATTAATTCATTTTGCATTTTTGACTCTTGAGGTTTGACTCATATTAAACAGGCAGCTGCCAACACATCGTAGTTACAATCTTAAGATCTCATTCTCTTTGTTTTAAAAAACACATTTTCAAAATAAATTCACAAGTTTTCTTGAAGAGTGGTTTGCTTTTAAGTTTTAGTTTTTGGATTGTTAAGTAGGATGGTAGTGCATCATTTCCTGCAGGTAAATGTTACCTGTGGCATCTTTAAAGTAATCTTAGGAGAGAACATTTACAGGAATTTCTCAAATCAGAATTATTGATCTTTTGAATAACATACCACAAAAGGACACAGATGCCTGTTAGAAGAATATGTAAAATTTGATGTGCTGTCATTCTAAAATAAATAATTGATGTTGACTGAAGAAAACAACCCACACCTACAGGTTTATTTTCCACTGCTCCATTGCTATCTGCCTATGTTTTTGTCATGCTAGAAATAGGATTGCTTTTCTACTTAGATTCCACTATTTCTTTGAACCCTTTTGTCCAGACTTCTTTTCTGTATGGACACCATTCTTTATTTTTCTGTTCATTTCAGCATAAGCATGGGTTTCATAATTGACATTGTTGATTCAAGGAGCGGGTCCATTGCTGACAAGTGAGGTCTGATCTGATGCACTTGTGTGGGGAGGGAAGAGGAGGAACAGAGAAGAGCTTGGATCTGATGCCTCAGTTTTAGGTTTTATATATTTCAGATTCTGTGGTGCTTTCGTGTGCAGTTCTGAACTTCACATTAAGGGATGGTGAGCTCTATTCACAGAGCAGGGAGACAAAAAATTCCTTCTCTAGCTGGGGACCAAGGACAAATGATCCAAATCTCAGGCCCAAGGGCACAAACAACGTGGGCTGAAGAGAAAAAAAAACAAGAAGGATGAGACTTCATAACCTAAAGCTTGAATTGGACAATGAACTCCAATGTGCAAATGGAGCAGAACTGATCCCAGGGAGAGCCCAAAATGTTCGTACATTTTGTGACCATTTTGGTTCATCTTGGGTGCAGCCCTGGCTGGGCTCTTGTGCTGCCCAAGGTGGATCCATTAAGGAGATCCTTTTAATAAATCCCTACTTTATTCTTTAGCTCTGTCTGGCTCTGTTCTAGGGCAGCCTTCATAGGGCATCAGATCAGAGGAAAAATGAGCAGGAATGTTTGTTGGCCACGTTAAGATGCTGTGGAAGGTTCTGCAGTGCTGGCTGGTCCCAGGAAGGGAAGTGCTCCCAGAGCTGCTCTTGTGCTCTGTGTGCAGCAGCCTGAACAGAGCCTAGCCATGCTGGTCTCTGTTCCTGGATTTGTAATGGGAACTCTGTGCGATCCCGTTAAAGCCAGGGTGTTCAAAGAAACAAAAGGAGCACAAAACAAAGGCCAGGTGCAGTCAGACGAACTGTTAGGATGTGCTGGAGGAAATAAATGCTGATGTCTGGCAACAAAATCTCAGTGAACAGCTCTCTATCCATTATTTCCAAAAAGCGAGCTGAGCAGAATTTGGAACAGTTTGGTTGCAGACGGCGATGCAGACAACCCAGAGGTAATTGGACACTCTTCCTGTTAGGAAATGCAGATTGTGTTTTGCTCTGTGAAATGGTCCAGCCTGTGACCCTCGTGGGTTTGCTTTGCTTTTCTAACAACAGAACTGGACCAGTGGGAGCTCAGCAGAAGGATACAGCCACAGAGAACAGTATTGCCCACGGCTTAAAATCTGTTCAAGGGAAATAATATCCAAAGAAAACCAATCAAAGAACTTTATATTGCTTGGGTCCATTAGGGCTAATTAGCAGCACTGGATGATAAAGTTTTGAAAGCCATGTTAGCCCATAGCTAATACTTGACAGCTGGCACAAGGAATATGGCAGGAGCTGTTCTCCATTTCTGTAAGGGGAAGGAGTGCATAAAATTGAAGTGTTTAGTAAGCAACTACATTAATTATTTTCTGCCTACTCTCGTAAGTAAAAAAAATCTCGGGATTATCTGATCTCTGAGGAGAAGAGCATTGACAAATGAAGATTGTCTGGACAGTTGCGATTTTGTTTAAAGCTCCCTGCAATGAGCAGATGTTTGGGTAGCTGAGAATTTTCATCTGAGCTTTCCTGAGGGGACTTTGTAGCCCAGTGTGTGCTGCAAGTCTGTGAGGACATATTTGCAGCAGAGCTTGAGGTTTTTCACCTTTCTCTGTACGTGCCAAAAGGATGATAAAACAAAAACTAAAATAAACTTTTGTAACTAACTTGTGTTTTGTAAGTAAACCAAACTTGTCTTTAGTTTAAAACAAAAACTTCCCCTTTCTATGTTGCACATTTGTTTTTTAGAAGCAATCTCACTGACTAGAATGACATTGTCTCTACCTCTTTTCAAAAGAAATGAGGGAAATGCTGAAGTAATTTAAACTTGCTATGAGCAACAAAATTAGGGTAAGAAGAGCACAGAAGTGGGGATTCCATATGCTCCTTTGCACTCTGCACCACCAAGGCCCAGTGAGAGTCAAGCCTTGGGGTGCTTACAAGGCAGGGCATGCTTCCACACGAGGGAAAGAACTTGAACTACTGCTTGAAGGGTGAATGGGACTCCAAAATCTGTATTTAGTTGCCCTTCAAGATACAGGTCTGCTTCCAGCCCCATGTGGGTCAGGAAAGACTTGTGTCTGTCATGCCTTCAGTTCCTCTGATACCAGCACCAGCCAGGTTTCTCCGTCTACCTGAAGCTCTCTGTGTGGGTAAAAATGAGATGAGCAGAAAGGGATGTTTTCTTAATTGTCAGACTAAAAGGGGAGATTACCTGCAGGAATTACTCCTGTCACACTCTGGAAGGACTGGTATTTTATGGGGTGGAGGCAATACTGAAGGGTGCACTATTAATCCTCTGTGTATTAGACTGCAAGTGGAAGAAAAGTGCTCTGTCATTGTAGATAAAACAAATAATTGGAAATATGAATAATAAAGAGAGACAGAGGCATTTTTAAAGTCAGGTCCACCATGTACCACAAGGAGCATCTCTTTTTGTATATGACTGTGCTTCCTTTCACAGTCCCCCATAACATTTACCTTTCGCTTTTCTTTTTAGATTTGCTTTCTGTATAATACTCAATTTTCCCCAGCATGTTTTGAAAGCCCAACCTCTTAATTTAAGGGACTCAAAAAGCTGCTTCCCTGAAACAGCCTTTTAAGTTCCTGTTTACTGCAGTCTTTGTATGCTTCAGTTTACGTTAGTTCTTTCTGACCATTCCCCCATGCTCCCCATCTTTTTCTTTTCCAGCTTGCTTTATTTCATGGGAAATAAATAATATCTGTTGTGATTGGGTCAATTCAGGTGTTTCTAGACCATCTTAAGATACATTTTTCAAAATTGTTCATTTTGGGTGCATTTTGCCAGCACCTTTTCCTTCCTTCTTAAATTGTTTAAATCTGTTATATGTTCTAGAAGTTTAAAGATTAAAATATCTTAATATAGGCTGGAGATGTAAAAGCTTAAAGCAAATCCTCTCCAAGTTTATGAGCATAGCAAGAAGTTAATTAAAGTCAACCAAGAAAATACAAATGCTAGGAAAAAAATCCACATTATGAAGAAATGCAAATTCAGGATTTGTAACTGAGTTTCCAAGAGTTAGGTTGGGGCAGGTCCAAGTTAAAGTTTTTACCTTACCCTTCAAAGTGAGTATTTTGTCATCACAGAAATGATGTGACATTGCAACATCACAACTCCTCCTTGCCTTAGAGTCCTTTGAATCTGAGCCCCACTCAGAAGGTTTTACTGCCTGTGCAGTCCATGGTGCTGGAAAGGGCAGTTTGTGCCAGTTCAAGGCTTTTGTTCAAGCAGAAGTGTTCTGCTATTTTGATATTGCTCTATTTCTGTCTGTTATGTCTGTTTTATGTCCTCTGTCCATCCAAGCAGTTTTATTTCACTCCTGATGCCTACAGAAAGAGGGGTACTATGAATTCCCAGAAAGATGTCTGAGAATATGTAAAGCTGGTGTGATGCACCCCCAGTGCGGCATACACAGGGCTCCGTTTAATGAGGTTGTGTACTGTAAATTCAGTTTTTTAGAGGAAAAAGCCTGGAAATTCTAACAGTACATGTAAATATTCATTTTAATGTTCCTGTTTAATCATTCAGTGAAGTTATAAGTGCTAATTAACATACCCACATAAGTAGGGATCATTTGAGGCCTCTTGGCAATCCCAAATTGAAGTCTGAGCAATTTGCAGAGCCAAAGCCTGGATGTTCAGCTGTGCAGAGTACAAGGTTTTCAGAGTTTGCTGTGGGCTGTGTGTGGATCCCAGGTGCTGGAACACTACTGACTCTTTTTATGCATCACAGGGAATCAAAATGGGAATACGGGAATATCTGAAAATGCACTGATGTCATAATTTAGTACCTGGGAACTTTTGTGTGGTCATCTAGGAGCTGCTAATCTTCATGGTGAAACTCTCTCAGAGAGGTCTTTTATCACTAATGCACAGAACCCCCATCCCACCCTAAATCATGGAATCATACAAGTTTTTACTTCTTCATAATTTGTTGGAATGAAATTTCTCTAGGGACAAGAATGTAATGTTCAGTTCAGAAATCTTCTCCCAAAGTTTACAATAGATCTCAAAGTAATGTTTCTATATTTTTATCATTTTTAGGACAAGCACATAGAAACGTATCCAAAAAAGGAGCACAGTTTGAAAAAGTAGTAAGTCTAGAAATATATTCATTGCAATTTCAAACCCATTGTAGCTTGTATTGAGAACTACTTGAGTGTGTGTGGGCTGGCCCAGCAGCTGCATTGCAGTGAATTGTCATCCCTGACGTCCAACAGGTTTGAAAGCGGGACAAGCCACGTTTGAAATCTTCCCAAGCAGAGGTAACTAAACTCTAACCTGTTTCTGAGCAGTTCCAGCCTGTATGAAAACTATTACACCACTAAAAGGCCAAGTCAGACTGGTGAATTCCAAATCCTGATCCCAGGTTTCATGTTTGACTCTGCAGTGCAGCTGCCTTCAAACGTAGCTGGGCAGTTGGAATCAAGAAGATTTTAGGAAAAAAGCTTGATCACCTCTCACGTCCTGAATGACTTGAACCAAAATGGGCCAATAACAAATAGGTGAGCTTGACATTGCTACTCTTTTTTCCTCTTGTTTTTACCTTGAAAGAGCAGCAGGTCTGAAGTATTCAGGAGCTGCCAGAGGCAGTGTGGGAGGGCACAGTCCCTTTGCTGCTAATTACATCTCCCAGCTGAGATACCGTGACAGTGTTTGAGCATCGTCCTGCAAAATCAGACAGGAGAGTGGGAGTCACTGACACAGACCCTCCCAATGCTGCAGCAGGCTCAGTTAGATTCAGTTTATCCTGGATTAGATTATCTTCTGCAGAATTGCTGCCTGCCTAGTTGTTCTTGTCCCTGTTTGCATCATGACTTATTCCTGTTCCAAGAGTAACCCTAACTCTTATCCTTACTCGAGTGATTTTCAGCATCTTTGAGTGATTCATGGTTTATATCATTTCAGGAACAACAACGGTCTGCTGAGCCACTACCAGCATTGAATTAGTTTTAATATACAAATACACCTTATAATATAAACTGATGCAGTATACACAGGTACTTGCCTCAGAATTTCTTCCCTTGGATGAAGTTGTAGAGGTTGTCCTCTAAATACTGATTCAAAATCTTGGAGCTATGCTAGACTAGCAACAATTAGGAGTTGTTGAGGCCTTTTCTGTGTTGCCAGGGTTTATCAGCTTACTGAGATTTTCTACAGAGCAGCGGGGAAAGAGGGAAGCTGCTGTGGCCATAATAACTAAAAATAAAGAGCAGCAATGAAGTGTTTTGGTGCTTTGAGGCTGACTAGCTTGGAAAGCACTAGACAAATCTCTTTTACCTCATGAAAGTTCTTCTCAATTAACTTTTAAAATAAGCAGTGGTTTATAAATGTCAATTTCCCATCTTTAATTTGCTATTAGTAGTGGAAAGTTATTGCCTCTGAATAAGATTGGCTATAATGAAAACAAGCCTGTGCTTAACTTCCTACCAAGTGACCAGTTTTACTGTCTTAGATGTTGTCAATTTGCAGACCTCTAAAGGTTCAAGTTCTGCACATGTGATTTTATAAGCCACAAGATCATCTTGCAATTGAGTTTAAAATTAATTGAAACTGATTTAGAAGATGGAGGAAGAATGAAAATAATGTCCAGAGTCTGTGTGAAGAGACAGAAAACTACTGCTTTAGGAAATAGCAAATTGAAAATGATTTGGTATTTAAATAGAAAAAGATGGGGATGGAGTGTGTTTGTGTGTAAAATAACTTAAAATCCTAGTACATATACTGTCTCAGAGAGGCACAGTTTAGAATGCAGAGATGTGAAAAACTTTGCAGGATATTTCTAATCCTAAATAAGAATGCAACACTTCTCATTGTCCTTCTTAATAATGAAGATGCTGAAACCTTCCAATAAAAGCCCAATTTTTAAAATTGAACAGAATATAGGAGTAGTTGACACGATTAGTCCTTCTCTACTTTTCCAGTAAGATGTCGATTTTGAGTATTTGAATCTGTCTTTAAAGACAGGCTTCCTGGGACCCTAGAAATGCCAGTCAGGGATGCCCTGTGTATATAAACCATAGATTATTAGGAAGGGATTAAATCACTTCCAATACGAAACATGAATCACTTGACAGAAAGAAGCAGCTCTCAAGACAACTGCATCAAAAGCTTTGGGACACATTAGAGACTAAATCCCTGGCATTTCCTGTACCTCTGGTTTTTTCATCGTTGTAGGCTGCTTTTCCAGGTTCTCTGATTCCTTGCAGCAGCCACAGGATTTCTCACCCTTGCCAGTGCTTTGCTCCTTCCTCTCAAGTTGTCAAACTGGCTACACAGGCAGTCAAACCCCATCCATTCTTGACAAAGTTTTAAATTATTTATTGCTAACATCTTGCTGAAAATTAGGCTCCTTGTATCTGTGTGGAGGAGAATGAAAATTGACACTTTACTGATTGCTAAAGAAGGCTGGAAATACAAACAGGAACTGCTGTTATGAACATGATGGAATATAGACTCAATATTCCCTTTTCCCCTCCTAACCAGTTCCATTTCCCTGGCTACCATTCCCTTCTCCCCACACTTCCATGGTCTCTGGACCTGTCACAGTCACTGCTGCTACCAGTGTGCTTCTCTTAGGTGTCTCTGTGTGAGAAATAGAATTAATTATACACAACATAAACATACTCCTCACGTACAGTCATGTAATGGAAATTCTCTGCACGGAGGAGGTGGCAATATGGGAAAAGGACTGTCCTGCATTTTAAAAGCCACAGAAGAAATTAGAAAGGAAAATTTTCCTATAGTACTTCAGAAGGTATTTAAGAGTAAGGAAATGACAAAAAAAATCTAATTTTATATCAAATGGGATTAAATGATAGTATCTGTTCAATTAGGTGGTGTGAAGAAGATATGAAATAATAGATACAATTATATACGTGTCAAATTTTTATCTGTAATAGCAGTTCACAGGTGTGAAACAGTGGCCATGCATGCCACAGGATGCTGAGGAAATTTGGGAAATTACTTTGTGTCCCAGTCCTGCTGTGAACCGACACTGTTTTATTCCTCTTTAGTCATGCAGGCACATATAGAAATTAAATGGCTGATTTGTGTGAGGGCTGAATCACTAAGTATGTAAATTCATGTGCTTACCTGAGTGTAACTTGCTTAAAATCCCTAAGTCAGACAATTTGTCCATGATTGTACAGAAACTGTAAAATCAATAGGCAGAAAAATATGATCATAAAGGTTGAATGGTTAATCTCTTAAAACTCTTGCATGTTATGGCTGTATCTGGTCTTTGTGGGTAGTGCAGAGGCTGAGGGCTTTTATTTAATGTTTCTTCATTCTGAAAGACAGACCCTGGGCTGATTCACTCTGGGATGGGACTGCTGCCTATGTCCTGTTTATGGCCTGTCCACTACTGCTTTATTTCCAGGAATCAAAGAATTTATAACTGGGTTGTAAATTCAGGGTTCTGAATACTCCAAGGGATATCTCAAATATATCTGTATCTAGATTTTTTTAATTTTTGAAATTGACTAGTATTTTTAATTAAACCAGTGGAGTATAAGAAAATACAGTGAGTCTGAAAACTGCACACCAGGACTTCAACAAATCACATGAACTTCTTCTGTCTGATGAGATTTCCTGTGAGCTGAGCCTGATCTTTCTCTGGCTTCTGCTGGGTGGAATCCTCCAGATGCCCCCTGAGGCAGGAAGTCTTTGTGGGCAGCAGCTGAGGTGACAGAAATCCTTCTTCCAAGAGGTCCCTGTGTCCCGGGTGAGCTGTTGTTTTGGGAGAAATTGTCAGAAGTTCCTGTCAGATAGTCCTGCCTTGAGGCTACCATGTAATTGGGGCTCCTTCAGTTTTCTGTCCCAATCCCCATCCCTTGGATGTGAGGGGCAGAGCACTGCCTTCCAGTTTAGGTTGTTCCCATCTACATCCTGGCTGCTGCTGTCAAGCAGAGGCATTTTGCAGGGTCAGCTCATCCCAGTTAATTCCTTCAGTGCTGATGGAGTACAGGGAGCCCAAAAGCCTCACCGTGGTGTTTCAGAGCCTGGGTGCAAAGGCTGCATCACAGAGCCGGGTAATTTAACCGACTTGGGAAAATTTTTCTGGCCTCACCCTCGAGCTATTCCAAGTTCCAAGAAGGAAATGATGTCTCAGGTTTTAGCTTTTATATTTTTCAGGTTCTGTACTGCTTTGGTTTGTAGTTCTGAGCTTCATATTAGGGGATAAGCTTCATTAAACTTTCTTCACAGACTAGGGAGACAAAACAATTCCTTCTTTAGCTGGGGACCAAGGACAACAGATTCAAATTTCAGCCCCAAGAGCATAAACAAGAAGGATGGGATTTCATAACCTAAAGCTGTAACTGAATGATGAACTCCAATATGCAAGCAAAGCAGAACTTACAGAAGTGAGAGACCTCGTGATCACTTGTCCATTTTGTGACCATTTTGGTTCACCTTGGGTGAACCCTGGCTGGGCTCCTGTGCTGCCCAAGGTGGATCCATTGAGGAGATGCTTTTAATAAATCCCTGTTTATTCTCTAACTCTGTCTGGCTCTGTTCTGGGTCAGCCTTCACACGGCATCAGTTCCAGTGGTCCTAGAGGTGAGCTCAGGGTGGCTCGTGGGGAAGATTTTGTCACAGGGCTGCCAGTGCAGAACTCACTGTGTGTGAGGGCTGGAAACCCCATAAAGGTGGCATCTCCCAGGAATTCAGAATGTCAGATGGGGAATGAGAGAAGTGGAGATGCAGACTGCTGCTTTTCTTCCCAAGATGTTAACTCTAGGGTAAAGCTAGTTTTATATTTTCTACAAATGAATATTTCAGCCTCTTTCAAGCTTCCTATTAAAATAAATGATATAGACTTCCTTATTCATTTCTTTATGGACCTCAAGATATTCTGACCTTGTCATAAAATCATTTCTTCTTTTACAAGTCTGATTTTTTTTTTTTAATACGGAGAAAGTGATCTTCTAAATGACAAGGTCAGTGAAAGTCCTGTTTAAGACATTTGGGAGCATGAATATTTCTCAAAAGGTGGCTTACAAAGAGATGTTTTCACTAAGTACTGGCAAAGGATTTAAAAAAGCAGAGACAGAAAAAAAATAATTGCAAAGTATATTCTGTGTTAAGTATTTTTAAATTCATGTAATAAGTACAAAGGAAAACCACATTAATTAATCTCCTAATAGGTGTTATGTATCTTTTGTTGGAAGGTTAAAAGGGATCTTCATCTGCAGCTTTGGGTCTGGGGTGCCCTGTAGGGGACAGACTGGCTCAAGCAAAATGAAATTAGTGGCCTTTTTGTGCTAGGCTGTCTAGAGGGTCATGGTTTATTCTTGTGGAAGAGCCTCTCTGTGAAGGGGCTCAAGGTAATTCCTCAGCAGTTCCTGGGATCAGGAGCAGAGCAGCACATGAAAATCTCCAAATGAAAGTATGGCATCCACAAACATTCTCTGAAAATTCTCTAGTGAATGTGGGGGAGTGATTGAGAAGTATGCAAACAGCACTTGATTCTGCTTTAAAACGTAATAGCTTTAATGAAAACATTTGGAGTTGGTTTATTTTTCTTTCTTGATTTAGTTTTTCTTATCTTTTAATAGTTTTCAGCTGACTGGGGGGCAGTTCTGAAATGGTGTTGTAGTCTGGATCTAAGAAATACAGTATTCATAGAAATGAAACAGATCTTATTGGAAAGAACAATTAAAAAGATGAAAATATAGATATTGTCTGATCTAAAACTGAGCAGACATTATTGCAATTTGTAATTGCTTGTGCAGGAGGACTTGGGAGCTTGCAGTTGACGTCAACAGCAAAACCCCAGAGAGTTTGGAAAGAATCACAATTAACCTTTTTCAAAGTAATTTGAATTTTGAAGGCAGAGGAAGTTATCTGGCCCAGACTGAAGTTACAAGAATTTCAGATGCTTTTTTTGCCTCCAGTTCCTTTTCCTACAGATCTTTTTTTTATCAGTAGTATAGGGGACCATGTTTATTTTTTCCCTTCAATCAAAATGCGTGTTCCAGGAACCAAG